ATCTATCTATCTATCTATCTATCTATCTATCTATCTATCTATCTATCCATCTATCCAGCCATCCATCTTCCATCATTTATCATATATCTATCTACAAGAAGAAATTTCCTGACACTGAGGACAATTAATCAGTGGAACAGCTTACCTCTGGAAGTTGTTGGTGCTCCAACACTGGAGATTTTCAAGAAGAGATTGGACAGCCATTTGTCCAGAATGCTATAGGGCAGTGGTGGCTAACCTTTTGGGCTCCTGTGTGAAAAATTGCACGTGCACTAGCATGCACACACTCATGTGCCAGCACCCAGAATGCAAAATGCATGTGCAATCCTCCCTCTCGCCACCCCCTTACCTGCACCGCACCTCACAGCTGGTTTTTCGGCTGGTTTGAGGCCTTTTTCGGCCTCCCAGAGGCTTGGAAAAAGCCTCTGCAAGGCTTTTCAGGACGAATTATAGGCCCATTTTGTCACTTCCGGTATTACAGGAAGTGACAAAACAGGCCTATAATTCATCCTGAAAAGCCTTGCAGAGGCTTTTTCCAAGCCTCTGGGAGGCCGAAAAAAGTCTCAAACCAACCGGAAATAAATCAGCTATGAGGCGCACGCTTGCACAGTGAGGTAAGTTTGCCTGCAGCTTGCGTGCCAGCACACGTGCCACAGGTTCACCATCACGGCTATAGGGTTTTCCTGAGCAGGGGGTTGGATTAGAAAACCTCCCAGGTCCCTTCCAGCCCTATTATTCTGTGTGATTCTATGTGTCTATCTGCATATCTCTCTCTCTCTCTCTCTCTTTCTCATCTCCTTCTCTTTTTTTCTCTGTCTCTCATCTATCTATCCACTTTATTTACTTATCCATTGTATGCTAACCCAATAACTAAAATAACTCTAAGCAGCTTCCCAGGACAGCAGAGGGTGAATAATCACGATCCCAAAATGGAGGGTGTTGTTGTAAGTAGGAGTTGCAGAATAATATGATGGAGATAAAAGTTATTTTTAATTCCTATTTACTTCCTCTCTTGCCTTTGAATACCTTCATCGTACATCTTAAGAAGATACTTGGTTGATACCTAGGATGCTGGCAGCAACTCGTATCAACCATTGGCCCCAGTCAATGATATTTGTGATACATCTTTAAAAGTTCAATTGACTGAGTTTCAAGTTTAATGAATAAAAGAGATAATAATTAATAAATAATAATAATAATAATATGTACAGAAGAAAAAAGAAAAAAAGGTTGGAAAGATGCTGATGGCCAAATCTGGCCCCAGGTTCTGCCTCGGGTTACTTTTTCCAATAAGCAACCAAGTTGGAAGGTTATTTAAAAGCAATTTATTAGAGTACTATGATTAAGTGCGGTTTCCGTATGAAAAGGGGGAATCCGGGGAAATGGATTACATTTACTTTTGTTTGCACAACCAAGAACTTCAAAGCAAAAGTTGGTTGGTTTAGAAATAGTCATCTGCCCAGTTACATCAAAAGAGTTACAGAATCCAATAATATGCATGCATAGCCATAGAAAAGAGCACTGTATTCTGAATAAAAGCAAAAGAAACATTTGCAAAGTAAAAACATCAAAATGGGTTTGGGTAAGATACATTCTCAGTCATTCCCAAGGTTGGCTTGACTATTTTCTTTGTTCATGGAAGCTTGAGAACAATTAAAAACAAAACTCTTATCTACAATCTACTGAATGCTCTCCTGCCAGTCCTGGTTTCTGAAAGAGGCTTTTTCTTGAAGGTTAAGACTTATGGAAAATTATCAGCAATACAGTGGAAAAAGCAAATTTAAAATACAAGAAGAAAAGGAAATGCTTTCTTGCTGCAAATTTTTAGCAATGTTAATAGTTAAAAAAAAGCATTCCAAAAATCAAATGGAGGGTTTTTCTTTTTTTTAAAAAAAGGACACAGCGAAACAAAATTGGACAACCAGGAATACACACTGCACATAGGTTCAAAATATTTGGCAAATATTTTCTCTACCTCATCTTTACAAAGTAGGTCAGTGATAGGAATAGATGGAAGATCTCATGGACAGTGAGATTTGAAGCAAGGTATTACTAATAATAGTAATATTAAAACTGGGACTGACTCTGATTTGCTTCTTAGGGAGATTCCGGTGGACCTATTGTTTGCAATGGCATTGCTGAAGGCATTGTGACCACTGGATCCACTGTTTGTGGCAATTGGCGGAAACCTGGGATTTACACCCGGACTGCTCCCTACGTCTCATGGATCAACAGCACCATAGAGTCCAACGTTTAAGTCCTTAGCGGGATTGCTTAGTAGCTCTCAATGCTGAGGCTTCAAGGTGCAAAAGGGAATGAGATTGGACAACCATGTGTTGTTGTAAGGTTTCCTACCTGAGCAGGTGGTTGGACTAGAAGATCTCTAAGGTCTCTTCCAACTCTGTTATTCTGTTCTCCCAAGAGGTTCAGGAAGGAACCTCTTTCTCTTATGGAGTGGGGGGGGGGGGGCTTTGCTTTTTTTATTTTATTTTCATCAAGGGGCACCTGTACGCCAACCAGCAATGCTTACCAAGAATTATTGTCAGCATGCAATAAATAAATAAATAAATAAATAAATGGAACGCAGGTGGAGGCTGCTTTTGTCATTATTTAAGACTGAAAGAGACTGGAATCCCGCTCCTCATGATATATCCCTCTTCCCAATCTCTTATTTGAGTGGTTGGCTAATTTCAAAACACGGTTTTGTGTGATAGATTTACCAGCCTCTGAGTTCTGAATGTAATTCCTGACGGCTTCAAAGTGGACCAGGGCAGAAAACCCTGGAGAATTCCTGCCAATCGATGCAAATCATACGAAAGTAAATCACACTGGTTGGGCAATTCTGGGAGTTGAAGCCAGAGGTGGTATTCAGCAGGTTCTGACCAGCTCTGGAGAACCGGTAGCGGAAATTTTGAGTAGTTTGGAGAAGCGGCAAATACCACCTCTGACTGGCCCCGCCCCCATCGATTCTCTGCCTCCCGAGTCCCAGCTGATTGGCTAGGTCTTCTTTGGTTGCCCTGCACAGGAGAATGGAGCTGGAAAGCAGGTTAGTGGGGTGGGGAGGGAATGGGATTTTGCAGTATCCTTCCCCCAGGAGTAGGGAGGGAATGGGGATTTTACAGTATCCTTCTCCTTCCACACCCACCAAGCCATAGCCACAGAACCAGTAGTAAAAAAAATTGAGTCCACCACTGGTTGAAGCCCACATATCTTAAAGTTGCCATCTTAAAATCAGAATGATTCTAATTCATACCTTGTATTAGTGTTTCTCAATCTTAGCAACTTTTAAGATCTGTGGTCTTCAACTTCTACAATTCCCCAGCCAGCCATGCTGAGAAATATTGTTATAAGGGGTGGAAAAATTGGTCCAAAACTAGATGTGTTTTAGGAAACTGAATACCTGTTGCTTTAAATTTCAGGTGGTCCTTGACTTTCAACTGTTTAATGACTCTGGGACTTGAGGATGCTCCATTGCTCGAGGTTTTCAAAAATAGACAGGACAACTATTTGACTGGGATGGTATAAGGCAGGGGTACCTAAATTAGGCCTGCAGGGACGGCCTGAAAATAGCAAAGGACCAGCCCGCAGTCAAAACCGGGCACGAGGGTCACATGTGGCTCCCCCCAGTTTGTCAAGCAGGATTACCGTAAGTAGCAGTTTCCTAGAGGTAAGCAATTACTTCTATTTTCCACTAGAGGGTGCCCAAGCATTCTGGAATCCAAAACTCTTCTTCATATATACCTACTATCTCAAAAGAAAATTGCTTTATAATAAAAATGTAGAAGAGGTTTTTCTTTCCTCTAAAACCAGGACTTTTGCCAGAGTTCCAGCCCAGGTTGGTTGCTGGTCTGATTTACAACTGGAAATGGTAATGAAATTCATTTAGCTTACTTTTCAGATGTAAATTTACTTAAGGTTCCAATCAAATACCAAATTGGAAATTAGGTATTATTAAAATGCAGTGTTCTCCAAAACATTACAATAAGGAACATGAAAAAGGAATTTTTACATTTACATTTTATTTGATTTGTCAATCGCTTACAAGATACAGGTATAAGAATAAATATAGTTTTGAATACATGAGAAAGATACTTATAAGAAAAATAAAAAACAATAGGACAGGGACGGTAGGCACGACTGGTGCGCTTATGCACGCGCCCTACAGGGTTAGGAAAGAGTCTAAATGCACAATTTTAAGAAATACGTACTATGCAAAATTATCTCTTTAACCGTTCTGGTACTTCCCCGCTTTTTATGCTTGTCCTCTTGGAAGGAAGGGAGGGATGGAAGAGAAGATTGTGTTTGTCGGTGCGTATGTGTGTTAGAGATTGGTTTGTGTGAATGAAATAGAATGGTTGGTGGAATAAAATATCAGACGAGTTACTATTTTTACGAATTAGAATACTTTACAGGCCATTAATTCGATTTTTAATTAAGATGTGACCCTTTTTTAGTGTTATTTCTGGCAGGTTTTGTCTGTGTAGGTGTGAATTGATTGACTCCTAAGACCAATTCACAGGTGTGAATTGATTGACTCCTACAGATCACACTGACAGATTTTCTCCATAATGATCTGCTTCTAACCTAGTTTTTCAGGTTGTTCCTATCACCATTATAACTGAGTCTGTTCCCCTTCTTGGAGGCCATCCGCTTCTTTACTTCTACCCTTTCAGGCATTAGCGCCTTTTAAAAAGAAAAAAGAAAACCAGGTCTTTGTATGAGAGCTAGTTTGATGTAGTAATTACGATTTTAGGCTAGAAACTGACACCTTGCCAATCTGGGTGATCTTGGGCCAGTCACTCTCCCTCAGACCTAAGAAGCAGGCAATGTCAAACAACATATGAAAAACTGGTGGACCATCACTTAAATATGAGCCAGCAGTATATTGCAGCTGCCAAAAAAGCCAATACGGTCCTAGGCTCTATAAACAGAAGGACAGAATCAGTGGTGGGATTCATTTTTTTTTATACTATCGGTTCTGTGGGCGTATCTTGGTGGGTGTGGCAGGGGAAGGATACTGTAAAATCCCCAGTCAGAGGTGGTATTTGCCAGTTCTCCAAATGACTCAAAATTTCTGCTACCGGTTCTCCAGAACTGGTCAGAATCTGCTGAATACCACCTCTGGATAGAATCAAGATCACATGAAGTGTTAATACCACTTTATAATGCCTTGCTAAGGCCACACTTGGGATACAGCATCCAGTTGTGGTCGACATGATGTAAAAAATGATGTTGAGACTCTAGAAAGAGTGCAGAGAAGAGCAACAAAGATGATTAGAGGACTGGAGGATAAAAGATACGAAGAACGGTTGCTGGAATTGGGTATGTCTAATTTGATGAAAAGAAAGACTAGGAGTGACATAGAAGCAGTGTTCCAATATTTGAGGGGCTGCCACAAAGAAGAGGGAGTCAAGCTATTCTCCAAAGCACCTGAGGGCAGGACAAGAAGCAATGGGTGGAAACTAATCAAGGAGAGAAGCAACCTAGAACTAAGGAGACATTTCCTGACAGTGAGAACAATTAATCAGTGGAACAACTTGCCTCCAGAAGTTGTGAATGCTCCAACACTGGAAGTTTTTAAAAAGATGTTGGATAACCATTTGTTTGAACTGCAGGAACCAGGAATCAATGCTGAACACACACAGACACAAGCACACATACACCTTGATACAATGTGTTTGAAGCAGTGGTGGGATTCAAAATTTTTTTTACTGCCAGTTCTGTGGGTGTCGCTTGGTGGGCGTGACAGGGGAAAGGACAAAATCCCCATTCCCTCCCCACTCCTGGGGGAAGGTTACTGCAAAATCCCCATTCCCTCCCCAC